ATTTGATATGATAAATTTGATATGATTAATAAACTTACACATACTCGTAACATTTAGTATTTAATTTCTCAGAAAAAAATTGATTCATTGCTATATATAACATGTAAGTGGAATACTTTTTTTAGTTTATACCAATTCAAGTCAGAATTCATCTGAGATTTCGGACGATTGAAATGTTTAAAACTTTTAAAATTTACTTTAGAAATTTAAAAATTTCTAATTGGTGTTTATCTGATTAATGCTCTAATGATTTATTTATTGATGAGTTTGCTATTATGATGAGAACATGAGTCGCTACGAAAGCATGAAATCGATGTTACAGCGTTAATGGTTCACTTCAGAGCATACCTAGAGATAATTGAATTAACACTGCACGAAATGGTATTTGAAATAACATATTATTTTATAACTATATAATTTATCAAAAATAATTATGATATACTGCTTTGATACGATAATTTTGACAGTAGTCATTTTACATTTGAGATGTATAAATAGTTGTATCAGTTCAAATTATACATAAGTCGAAATCATCAATTTAAAACGATTTTAGAAATCATTCATAATACTTGCTGTATGTATTATATAAAGATTATATATATTAGATTACAAAGATAATTATTTTTACGTATCTAATGCATATAGATTGCGTATATTTTACATCATTAAATGCGTATCACCCATTTGTATAAACTTTCATGATTTGCTCAGTGAAAATCTCTTATCTTACAATTTAGGTATATGATCTTCATCATGTTTATAAATAATCTATGATTCTTGAATTAGGGATATATATTTGAACTGTCAGTGATAATAAAAATAAAAGATAACGATTGGTATCGATTGGTACTATCTTAACAGAAAATTTCATTGCAATACAACTGATAGTCGCTTTTTTCGCTTTAAGAACTTTCTACCTGCTACAATGTCGACATTATTGATAATGTTTGTTACTTATACATTCATAATTATGCAATTTACGACTGTTTTAGGACTGCCTTTTTTTGGCAACGAAGATTCTACATTAAATAACCGTCCAATAGTTGGCAAGTATCGAATTGTGCAGTGCTATTAATAATTATGATTTTTCTGTCTTTTTTTGGATTGAGACTTTATGTCAAACTGTATTGCAGAAGTACAAGAAGTTTCATTTACATACATAAAATTAATTATATATATAAAACTTTATATTGTAGATTAAGTAACATTATTAGAGGCTAACATTATTATAGGTAAGTATCAAAATTTTGACGTATGTGTGGATAACGATTCAAACATCATATATTCTGTACATATACAATATATATATAGAAATAATATTCGATAATCTTCAGGATAACTTTTTGAATCAATCTTTCCGTCAAATTGCAATAACATAATTTACAAATAGAAACAAGGAAATAAAATGTTATGCGTAGCATTTCATAGCAAAAATGAACATTTTATTTCACATTTTATCCTTACTTTTTCTTGTTTATTAACGCTTCTGCAATTTAGTAGAAAAAAATTACAAATATCTTGTTTGTAAAATTAACTTAACTTGACTTATTGATATAAAAAAACTGCGAGTTTTGTTTTTTATTTGATATTAACTCAGCATAATTGAACAAAAATATATTATTTAATTTGTTGGTTTTATGTTTAATAGGTATTTTAACGCAAGAACTAAGTTATTCTTTAAATAAGAACTATCCAGACAATTATGTAAGTTATATTGCTGCATCATATGTAAAATTTGTTGAAGGAGCCGGGGCAAGAGTTGTCCCAATTTGGTGAATATATGATTATAATTAATAGATTAAATTATAATATACGTATAATTGTATTAAAGGAATACTGTTTTTTAGGATTGGAAAAAATGAATCCTATTATGAAGATATCTTGTCTAAAATAAATGGGTAAAAAGAAAAAATAAAATATAAATTATGATATATAAATAAATATTATAATATTATATAAATAAATATTTCTTATAGAGTCGTATGGCCTGGTGGAACGACGTGGTTCAACCAAAGTGCTGGATATGCAGACGCAGGATATACGATTTATAAGTAATAAAAATTATGTAAAAATATTTCTTATATTTGAAACACAATATAGATGCATCTTTTGCGACTTGCATTTTTAAGATTTTGCTTGATATTTTTGAATTTATTTGTAGGATTGCGAAACGATTGAATAAAAACGGTGATTATTTTCCAATCCTTGGAATATGTTTAGGATTTGAACTGCTAACATATGTTGTTGCTGAACGTTCTGAACACAGGATCAATTGTGATTGTAGCAATCAATCACTCCCGCTAGAATTCGATCCAGGTTTATCAATTGAACATCTTTTTAATACTAGCATTTTTTAGACCAAAGAATTATTTTTTTCATATATTTCAGATTATCGAAACAGTCGAATGTTTGGTAATGCTTCAGATAATATTATAAACACACTGAAAACTAAGAACGTGACAGCGAATTTTCATCAGTATTGTGTTACGAGAACAGTATGTAGTATTTATCTGATTTTTGCAATAATATGTCTTTAAGATCGTGATATTCATAACATGAGTTTTGCAGGCTTTAAGAAAGGCTGGTATACAGAAGAAATTTCGAATATTATCTTTCAATCACGATATAAATAATATTCGATTCATTTCTTCATTGGAACACGTTTCTTTTCCCTTTTATGGCTTGCAATTTCATCCAGAGAAGAACTCATACGAATGGGCGATTAAAAAAAATATTCCACACGGGGAACTTGCCACTAAAATCTCGCAATATTTTGCTGATTTCTTCGTTAATGAAGGTATATCTATTTTATCTGAATGTTTTTATATCTCATCTTCAATGTGAACGTAAATTAATACAAATTAAAATTATTTTATATGCAGCACGTAAGAATAATCATACATTTGAAAACGAAGCTGAAGAAGCTCGGAAATTGATTTATAACTATCCAGTAACTTATACTGCGTTGAAGAAGTCTTCGTTTGTTCAATGTTATCTTTTCACAAGCAGCGATACAATATGAAATATTTAATTAATTTTCGATCTATTAATTTTATTTTACATCATTATTATATGTTACTATTTTATCATATGTATCATAGATATTGAAACGAATATTATATACACTTTTTAGAATGAATATAAAACTCGCGAATGTTTATTTTCACGAAATCATTGATTTATACTAAAAATTTTATTCAAAATAGAATTAAAGCATGGGAAATTATTACATGTAAGACAGGACACGTAGTGTTCACATTTAACATAACACCAGTGTATATTGTGTCACAACTGGGATACATAATATTACAATGGTGCATAATAAAATTCTATACATATTTCATTCTATCTAAAAGTAAATTATATTTCGAATTCTTTCCTTCACCATCATATTTCTCTTTGAACCGAAACAGTTCTATTTCAGCAGTTCTATTTTTTATTGTTAGCGAAAAAAGGCAAAATCATTCAGATGGGTCCAGTTTTATTAAAAATTATGCAAAAAAACTGACTGGTTACGAATTTTAGCGAAACATTGAAGTAGCATCTTACTGTTTTTTACTTAATATCTTTCATAAAATCGCTTCGATTCAAAGGGAATAGTTGGATCTGATACATACCTGCTTGCTATTTTTTTAAAACAAGCACGAAACTAAATCTCTTAAAAGCATGAACCAACTCTTAATTTTATTTCTCGTAACGTATAATATTATCAATAATAATGCAATAATAATAATATTATCAATAATAATATAATAATAATAATAATAATAATTCATATAAACATTATTTCTATTTATTCCTTGTTAGACTTTTTAGCAAATTACAAGGAGCGATGCCATGAATAAATTGCGAAGGAATTCTTTACACGTATCGTCGGAAATATTACTTGCATTAAGTGTCTCCGGTACGGCATCATAGTTTTCTTCTTTTTTTTTTTTCTTCATTTTCACGTCGTGTACAACATATATATACATAATGTATATAAGCGTGAGCAATATATATTATACATATATATTTGTTTTTCCTTCCTAGATGTATCTTTGCACAGACTGCGTATTTCCTTCATATCTTCATTGCTCGCTTTTTCTATACATCTCTTTTTGTTTTTCTACGAATATAATGTGAAAATTTTACGCTCCGTATGTGACATGTATTTTATGCCACTCATAAAGTGAATCTGCGGTATTAATTAATTTTTCCCTTGTTATTTTTCTTTCTTCCCTCTTTTCGTTAAATAGTACGTGATATCTAACTGCTTGGATATACTTAGATATATTTATCATAATATATTAATCTAGACTTCTACAGAGTGACGAACATTATCGTACACGAAACTCCATGTGACGCATGCACGCGCGTTAATAAATTTATCATCTTTCTCGTGTTTATATTCAATTAGTTGTTATTATTATAATATTATACATAATTAAGGTAAGTCTGGCACTGCAGCAATCGTTAATATACGATTGTGAATTTTTCTCTCCGTTTTACTGAACGTACGTATTAGTATTTTGAATGCTCTTTTAAATATGTGACATATATTTAGGTAACTTATAGCACTAGACAACGTTGCCGCAGAACCAGGCTTACGATCTTTTATCATTTATTCTTAATCGTAAATACGAAATACATGGCCTTACAAGATCGCTAGTCAATAATATTCTTTTCTTCTTTTTAAAGTAGACGAGACGCAAATATCGTTAACCAATTAAAATTAATTTTAAGAATCAAAATAATCCAAAATCGTCCCTATACACTATAAAAAAAGTATTGAATCGCTATTGCCTGATCATTTTTTTTTTTAAATCATTCTTTGCTTTCTTAGTGTTATCATTTAAGATCTACACTGTGACAGTTGGTATTATTCGCTGTGGATTAACGCTCAAGTGAAATCGGCAAAATTATATTGCACTCATCCATTACAATAATTACGATTAAACAAAAAGAAAAAAAAGAGAGAAAACAATGACTACAGCTAAAATGGACAACTAACGTGATACTTTAATTCGACATTCACGTCTGTATTAATAAAACATAAATCGTTTCTTTAAAATGTTTCTTTTAAATATAGTTCCTCGCATTAAAGTAAACTACACGCCAATTAAAGTAAACATAAATATAGTATAAGTAAATTGAAAATTACCGAATAATTATAATATACAGTATCTTTCTCAGTCACGTTTACGCAGAATTTTTTTACGCAAGTAATAAAATGTATATTTATTATATTAGATTTTGTATAGAAATTTTTCTTCATTTCTACAACCAAGTACGTAGAAAAAGCGAACTCATAAGAGAGAGAAAGAGAGAGAGAGAAAAAAAAATCTTTTTAACATCAATACGGAACATTTGTGGTACGTTTATTGTACAAATGACAATATTACTATAGATGGCAATAAATATTTAACGTAAAAAAATTTGTGGCGCTGAACAACGTGACGGATGCAAATATATATACTGCTACAGTTTATGATCATTTCGATTAGTTATTTCTTTTTTTACGTGTCTCGGTTTAAACAAAATAGTTTGATAAAATTGTGATAAAAATGATATAAAGCCGTACGTAATTTGAATTCCAAATATATTTTGTACTTCAAGCAAACTACTTGATAAATCTTTTAAAATCATGATTATACCATTATTTCAGAGGTACATCGCGCATTAGATTATATCACGCTAAATTTTACTTCAATTAGTAAATACATTAATTTCGTTACTCTTTTTTTTTTGTTTCTCTTTTCTCTACACGAAATTATTGTATAAAACTAATACAGCGTTATATCGTTACCGCAGTTTAGTCGAATTAACAGCGAAATTACGTGTGCCCATTATCGAATCGCCACGATTATCAATTCCATATTCCACCAGTGTGGAATTAGATAATGCATATCAAATATTTTTCTCCTTGATAAATTGTATCATATAAAAAAAGAAAAGAGAAAAAAGAAGGTAAAAGAAAATAAACAGAAATTCAAACTTTGGATAATACACTGCTATCAACTATAGCAGCACGATCAACTGCTCGAAACCGATGAAGTTCATAGTATAAACTCTCTAGTTCTTCTTGTACAGCTCTTTAGCTGCAGCGGGTATTGCGACGAGGACACATTTGAAGCATGAACAATGGAGCGCTGTAGTCACAACGATCTTTTTATATCGCATAACTGCACTTCGTAAATTATTAACTTATTTTTTTTTTTCCGTGTCTGTAGAAAATTGCAAGTTTCAACAGTATTTTTCTTTTTCCCCTTTCGACGAAAAGAGCAGACGAACAAGAAAAAGGAAAAAGGAAACAACTCAACGGCGCACTTTCATTGATCAACAAACACAAACATTCATCATGTATACACCTTTCTCATGGAGAGAGAAAAAAAAAAACAAAAAAAAAAAGAAAAAAAAATGCTTTCCTGTTTTTCCCTTCACATGCTTGCTTTCTTCATTTGGTTTAATAGGAGGTCAATACACCGGGGGGAGTAGGCACAACAACGGTGTGTTGTGGGACTACAGGTGGCGCAGGGGGGGCCAAAGGATGGCCAACCAGGACAGCTGCCGCCGGGATCGGCAGAACACCCGACTGAGGAATTGCTGAGGGCGTGCTGACTTGTGTCGGCGGTCCTTCCGCCGCGTGTTTTCTCAAATGTCTCAACATATTCCCTTTCTCAACGAATGTTTTCCCACAATCTGGACAGCTGTGTGGTCGCTCGTCCGAATGCGATCGTCTGTGAGACACTAAGTGCCCTTTGCACATGAAGTCTTTTGGACAAAGATCGCAGCGGAACGGTCTCTCGGCATTGCTGCCTTTATTGTGCGAGCGCATGTGGAAAAGCAGATTGCCCTTCAATGGAAAGCTTTTGCCACATTCTGTGCATACGAATGGACGTTCACCAGTATGACATCGCATATGATTTACGAGATGTTCCTATAACAGAGAAACGAAGATATTTTTCCATTAGATTTTGGCAATTGGCAAATTTAAAAATTTAATCAGTGAACAAAATTAAATTAGTAAGCAACAATAAGGGACTTTTTACTGATGATTTTTCGCTTTTTGAAAAGTCGCCTCATTCCCGTTTGGAGCAATAAAAATTAGCAAGTGTTTTTCTTCATTAGCGCGAAGAACAAATTTGTTCTGCTTTGAAACCAAAACAGAAGTGTTCTTCTGATCTTTACTTCGGTGTGGGTAAAATTCTTAGGTATTGCTTGAAACCATAATAAGGAATAAAAATTTCTCGTTGTTAATGCCGCAGCTCAAGAATCACACAAGAAATGAAGTTTATATGAAGGTTATATTATTTACATTTAATAATAAACATGTTTGTAAAACTCGTCAACCTGTAGCTTACCTTTCTTGTAAATGGTTTTGAACACACGTTACAACAGTGCGACGAATCTCCGGTGTGCTGACGGAGATGATTATTTAGATGTTCTTTCCTGGTGAACGTTCTCTGGCAGAATTCACACCTATGCGGTGATTCGCCGGTGTGGATTCGCACATGATTCGTCAAATGCTCCTTACGAGTAAATGACTTGGAGCAGAAGTGGCATCGATGTGGCGATTCGCCTGTGTGTTGACGCACGTGATTTGTCAAATGTTCCTTCCTCGTGAAGGATTTGGTGCAATACTGGCACTTGTGCGGTGACTCACCCGTGTGTTGTCTGACATGGTTCACCAGATGATCCTTCCGCGTAAATGCTTTCGGACAGTATTGACAGCGAAAAGGCGTCTCTCCTGCACAACATCAATCAACAAATATCGCGACTTTTATTCCTCTAATCGATCATTATTATCGTACACGATTTAACTTGACTCTTAATCGATTTTCTTTGATGCAACGTTAATAAAAATTACTTAATTTTATGCATCACGAATGAATTTACAATACTGTATATCTTTACATCCCATTGCTCGCTTGTTTAATTTACAGATTATTTGAATTTGGAACACTGTTATATCAGACAGTGATGACTATACATAATGCTTTTACACCGAGAATAAAATGCTGGCAACAAATTCGAATTCAATATTGGTATTATCAACTCTATTCGTTCTTATGTATTAACAATTTCTTACGTTACATCGATAAAAAGTCATACTCGTACAATAAATATTGAAGATGTTATAATTTTGAATACTAAAAAATATATTTTTCGCTACATGTTGTTACAACACATAAAAAAAAAAAAAAAAAAAATTAAGAAAAAAAAATAAACAGAAGAAAAGAAGATAATAAGTCACTATTTCATAATTACGAATTATCCTTATGTTAAACTAAATCTCGTTAATGAATTTTGTTACCTATGAAATGAAATGAAAATGAGAATGGTATTTTATGTATAATAAAATCTCTAACAAAAGAAGATTTTAAATAAATGAGGAAAGGAGTGATAATAAGCCGAATAAAAAGACATCTCTATAACACAGAGATGCGTATGTGAGAATATTCTCATTTAACGAGAAGCCTTTGAAACGGTTAATAAAAAGCATGTATGAGAGCGGTGTATTAGGCAGAACAGTAAATGTCTCTATGGGATCCGATGATGAAATGGGGTAATTGTGATCAGCTGAACTAATTGCTAGTTAGATATAATGTGAACTGTTATGCACGAACGGCGAACGCATTATCCCCCGGTATATTATTTATTCTATTAATTTAAAAAAAAGAAGGAAAAAAGAGTTAAACAAAAAAGCAAAACAAAAGAGTAACAAAATAAAAAAAAAATGGACAGCAGATATATATATATATATATATGTATATATATGTATGTATGTGTGTACATATGTACACATACACATACGTATATTTTTCTTTTTTCGCATGCAAGTCTGCAAATCATAGCTAAACGTTGGGTAGAAGCAAAACCGAGTGATGCGCGCGTTCGAAAAGCAATAATGCTCCTTGAATGATCATTTTCCAACAATGGATCAATTCAGATTTCTAGACAAAGAAACGAATGATTTTTCAGTGTATATGTAATGTGTGTTACATGATACGTTACATAAACATGGCGCGACCCAATCACATGATAGATATCTAGATTTGTGTTTCTCTCTTAACTAAATATGATTTTTCTATTCACGTATAAAACTACTACTCTTAGAGACAAATATTACAATCGGTTGTCCGTGAAGTGGACATCTGCCAACCGCTCTCACCTGTGTGTTGGCGGATGTGGTTAACAAGGTGTTCCTTTCTGGTGAACGATTTGGAGCAGAAGCCGCATCGGTGTGGAGACTCACCCGTGTGCTGGCGAACGTGGTTCAAGAGATGCTCCTTTCGCGTGAATGTCTTCGAGCAGAAATCACAGCGGTGCGGCGTCTCACCCGTGTGCCACATTATGTGGTTCGTGAAGTGCTCCTTTCTCGTAAACGACTTACCTGTATTCGCAGCAGTATACAACCAAAAAAAGAAAAACAAAATACCAATACTGTGATTATACTGTCATACCAATCAGATCTGTAATTAAACTGTCATTGATATGCATGTGTATAGCATATTATGTATGGGACGATTCCAAGATGTTTAACTCTTTCTAACTGTTGTAACATTTCAGATATTCTATGTTATTTGATTATATCAAAATGATAGTTTAGCTTTCTCATGTCTTTTGCAAGACACACCTTAGAAACTTACTAGAGATCTCTATTTTATATTGTTTGCATGTATTTAAAAATGCATGTGTTGAATCAGTACTTTATGTAATCTAATTTATGGAATAAACTGTTAATAATATTTTGAAATTATGCACAATGAAAAAAATCTTTTTTACTTTTCAGTTTCTAAAATTATAAAATATATATTTGAATATTGAATTTAATTAACACGAACTGTAAAGGTAATGCCCACGACATTTATAAATACCTTTGTATCAGCTGTGTAAATGAAACTTCTCTTTATATTATTAAAAACTTCCTAATAAAACTAGTATAGCATTAAATTTTATTTCATAATTAATATTATTATACAAAACATACATGTACGTGGGGCTCAGTAAGATTACTATTCCCACATATATCTAAATGAATTATATCTCGTTATTCAAATAAATAATAACATCAAAAATTTTTACAAGTGAAACATTTTTATTACGGTATTTAGAAAGGTGTATCTTGTGAAAATAAAATAAAAGAATACGATATTAACTACAAATATTATTTCAATGAAATGATGAAAATCTTTTATGTAAAGTCATTGAATAATAATTTAAGAAATTCTCAAAGATATCTAAATTATTATAATTTCAATATTTAAATGTGAACATAAACTGTGAATAATAATAGTCTAAACTATTACTTTATAAAATGAAAGACTGAGTACTACAATGACTGCTATCATTATTAAAATAATAATATACATATTTTCAAAAGACATCTCAATATTTGAATTTTTAAAAATCCAAATTAATTTTGTTTAAATTATAAATTAATAGAATAAATTAATAAAATTAAAATTAGATTTATATCGATAATTCCAGAAAATAAAATTGTGTCTTATTGAGGAAGAAACATATGTGCAAAATATGTACCAATCGCTTAAATTCATCGAAGTATGTGATGAATAAATTGTATAGATGTATGAAACGACAGTAAATGATCCGTTATCGATAGCAACAGCCACAAAAAAAATATAACGATTGAACATACTGATAATTCGAAAGTTAGAAAGACACTACGATTTATGACAGAAGATACTTGAATAAATTTTTACTATTTTATTTAATATTTTTTAACTTTTCAATATTTAATTTGTAATTTTTTCATGTTTTTCATACTTAGTTCAAAAAAATTGAGTAAAGTGTTAAAGTGATCACAAAGTTATATATTCTTTCTTTTGTATAAATATACTTGTATAAATATACAAGAGGAAAATACTATATGTATATTAAAATGAAAATTTTTTAATAATTTTTTGCATATAACAAACATGTAAGTGATTTTGGAGTTATAAATATGCACAAGTGAGTACACTCATTACATCAATCATTTCATTAATAAATTTAACTTATTTTCACACTAATTATATAAGAAACAAAATTAATTTGAAAAATAATTATTGATTTGTCAAATATGAAATATTATCTATCAATCGATATTTAACAATATATAATTTACCTTGAAAATACTTTAAATAATATTGAAATAATATTAGAAAATCCTAGTAATAATTTTAGGCAAACTGTGTAAACTTAGTGTACCATAATGCGACATATAAAATGTTTTTTGTAATATAAACATTATTTCTATTACTATTATACATATAATTTTTTTACAACTAATATATTCATTTTTAAAATATTCTGGAATCGTCCCATTAATTATTATGTTTTAATTGCATATATTGTATGAGAATAATAATGAACAATTTAACATTATTTTATATGTAGAAATTATTTTTTAAAATGAGTAATTAAAAACAGATTATAATATTTCGTTCGTTCGATATTTCAAAGAAATACTTAAATATGCATTAAAATAGTTTTCAAATGCTTTTATATATCACTTCAGATTACTTCAGATTATTTCAAATTTTTGAAACTATTGTTTACTTTCATACTTTTATAAATTATTAATTGTATGTGTGTATATATAATATATTATTTGAATGTATATAATTCAAGTATAGATAATGTAAATAATTTGTATATGCAATACTTTACGTCTGTCAAATGATTGGAAAAGTAGATTACTTACCGCATATTTCACAGCGAAATGGTGTATCATTGGTATGTGAACGCATATGGTTTGCGAGATGTTCTTTACGTGTATATTTCTTGCCACAAGCTTGGCAATGATGAGGAGTTTCTCCTGTATGCCACATAACATGATTCATAAAATGTTCTTTGCGAGTAAAGCTCTTTTTACAAATATCACATCGATGAGGTGTTTCACCCGTATGTTTACGAACATGATTTACCATATGTTCTTTCCTAGTAAAAGTCTTTGAACAATATTGACACCTAAAATATAAAATAATAGAATTATTTTCTAATTGGTGACTTTATTGAAATATAAATACTTCAAAATTTTATATATATTTGAGATAATAGTTGATTAAATACTAATAAAATTCTATAAACAAAATATAATTATTAATCAATTAATTAAAAATAGGAAATTATTATATTTTTTAAAACAATTTTTATTAATTTATTTAAACTTTAGTAAAGTAACAATTTACCTGTAAGGTGTTTCTCCAGTATGACAACGCGTATGGTTATCTAAATGTTCTTTTCTTGCAAAACTTTTCCCACATACAGTACAATTATATGGTTTATCGGTAGCATGTCGCTTCATATGACGTTCCAAAGATGGTGCATTTGCAAATACATGAAAACAAACTGTACAAGTAAACATGGATCCACCTAAGTGACATTTTCCATGCCGTGTCAAATCATTTGCATTTAAAAAGGCCTTGCCACACACCTATGACAGAGAAGTTTATATGTACTCAATCAAAATTAAATAAGATAAAATTTGGGAATATATATTATATACCTGACAAGTGAAAGGTTTCCTTTCCGTATGGTATCTACGATGAACAATAAGCTGATAGCGAAACTGAAAAATTTTTCCACATATTTCGCATGCATGACTTCCAACTGATACAGGCGAAGCACTTGGGCCTGGTGTAGCTTCACCATCACTTGATTTAATATCAAATTTATTTAATTGAACTTGTTGTACAATTGGAGTTCCATTCTGTATAGTGGTAACTGTTTGAGTAGGAACTGTACTTCCAACTAAAGTTGTACCAGCTGCTATTTCACTTTGTAGTTTTCCAAATACTTCATGATATGCTAAAAGTTGATTAATATCTTCGACATTTACCTGTAGAATATAATATAAATTTTATAATTATATATTAAAGAAACTATTGTTTTATGTATTATAATGCAACATTTTCTTGCCTTATACATATTTTGCACCATTTCAACACCAAGTGTTTTTGCTAAATCTTGCTCATTTCCAGCACTGATTTTCACAACTGAACCATCAGCTGTTCTTACATCCATCATGTGACCTGCTGGTTTTAAATCTGGCACTTGAAATCTATGCAAAAGTTATAATATCGTTTGTTAAACTGTAAAAATTATCAAACTTAATAAATATATAAATTATGCGAACGTACTGCGTCATATTTAGTTGACGCAATTCTTTTTCTTTTTCAGGTTTCTCTGTATTATTTTGACTTCCACTTTCGTTCGATGAATTCCCACTTATGTTCACACCAATTTGTTGCTGTTGCTGCTGTTGTTGCTGTTGCATAAGACTTTGTTGTAAATCCTGAGATGTTTGTAATTGGAGATCACATTGAACTTGACAGTGAACCTGATTCTCACTGCAACGTTCAGTTGTACAACTTCCACCTTCATCTTTCACTTTGTTATCATCCCTCTGTGCGTTTTGATTGTGTGCAGTTGGTCCACTGTTCTGAGCATTTTGATGATTTTGCATTTGATGGTGAGATTGTTGTTGCTGCTGCTGCTGTGGTTGCTGCTGTTGATGCAGCTGTTGCTGTTGTGCTGCCTGCATTTGTTGCTGCATTTGTGCATGTGCTGCCTGTAAATGACTGACGCTGGCAGGTATATGTGGTCCGTCTAAATTAAGGCCTGGTAGAGAAACTGGTATCTGCTAAATAAAATACAAAGAAAAAATATTATTATATTCTTTTTCAGTATGACAGAATTATAGTTCTAACAATTAGATAATTGAAAATATCAACAAATTAATAATAAAATATATTTTATATTCTTCGTATTTTAGCATATTGCAAATTAGAAAATAAGTTCAACAATTATAAAAAGTATTGTTATATATATATATACATGTATATAAATTACAACAATTAGCATACAATTGTATATAATAAACATAAAAATCAGAATAAAAAACACTGACAAAAGCAATACTTTAAATTATAAATGTGAAACTGCAAGCATTCCAAGTGTATGTATTATAAGACATAATTTTGCTATCTACTCACACTTATATCAGATTACATACAATACAGTATATTACCACAATTCCTGCAAACGCAGATACTAAACCTGGATCATTTATAAGCTACACTCAATAACTAATCATTGCATACCTCTAAGTAAACAAACCTGTGAATTTGGTTGTAAAGAACTATGATGACTGCTACTGCTAACTGAAGATTGATGATGATGATGTGTAGGTGTTGATTGATGATGTGAACTGGAAGTTAACGCCATTTCTTGATTCAATGAAGAGGCTGGCTCTTTGGAAGATGCCTCTCCACCTCCACTACTCCTATGTGAGGAGTTGTGGTGGGAATGATGATAGACCGAGACCTGAGGTAGCGGTCCAGGAAAGAGATTGGTGAGGACCCAATATTTAGCTACCGAGGAGGCTAACGCTACGGCTGTACCTACACGCAGGTCCGCGGATGAATGCGGGGTACTTCCTACATTGCCAAGACTGGTTGCTGTAGCCAAACCACCTGGGTATGAAGGACGACCACTTTGACCCGCGTTTACATCCTACCGATATACATTCAAACATTTGTACAACATTGATAGAGCATGCAGCAGCATGCACCAGGCTCAGATCCAATCAACAAATGCGCTAGTTTTTAAATTTCCTTTTTCTAGCATTACAAAAGCTATAAATTAAATTTCAATAAATTCGTGCAACCATCGCCAGTATTATTCTATATACAGAATTACTATATATAATTCTATACACAGAATTTATGTTTAAGAAAAAATTAAAATAATGTTATACCTAAATCCAAGTTGCAAAATCATACAAAATACATACTTTACTATTAAAAGCTTATATAGTTACATCTAATGATGCAGTGTAATATATTTATAGAAACATATTTCTTTTAACACGAAAAATGTGCTTTACGAATAGCTACATAACAAAAAGAATAAGCCAATAAATACAAAATATTTAAGCAAAAGCTACTTTATTTAAACTACAAGCATTAAAACTAAGAAAAGGAAAACTATAAAGTTTTATACAAAATTTTCACATAGAATTTCATTTCCTAGTGTAAAACAAATTCCATATAAAACTGCACAGAAGGTATAACAAAGTATTAAAAATTAGTAACAAATACTAAATATAAAAAAACAAATGCATTGAAATAATAATAAATATTTGTTGAATTTATAAAAGGAAATACATATATTTCAATAAATAAGAACTTCTCAATTTATTTCATAATATTTTTAAACTGTTGCGTTTTACATATCAATTGCGCATTTGTGGTTTGGTAAATAGCCTGCATCAGTTGGAAATGTTCTTACCTCTTGTTGTGCCTGCGTAGTCGCTGGCAATGCATGCTGCTCACTGTTCATCTTTATTCACTGAAGGATACTAATTAAATGTTTTTGATATATTTCATTTCTCATCCTGCAAAATAATTTAATTAAAGTTATTGTCGCGAATTTTAACAAGTTACACAAATATTCAAAAAAAATCTAATAATATATAATCATCATTTGCAAAATATATACATATAAAATTAGTAAAATCAAATTTTATAAAAATAACATAACATATAATTAATAAAGTAGCCACATTGCCCTTTGCACCGTTGAAACTGACTAGTAAAATAAACCTTGTAATTTAACCTCGAAATCAATTGGTTTAATATCAATAAGCGAAATAACTCTTTCTAAATACAATGGACCGAGACATCAT